AGACACGAGGCCCACGGGCCAGATGTGGCCCGTGGAGCATTTTTATGTGGCCCGCAAGATAAATATCAAAAATATATTAAAACTGGCCCACTGGCCGATTTTACCGCAAAGACTACAACTCCCACAATGCTTTGCAGCGTTAGCGCGAAGCCGAAGCGCCCCCTCCTTTGTGTTTTTTCAGCGCCTGCTGCCGGTGTCTGCAGCTCGCTGTCTCGGACAAACTAAACACTCCTCTCACTCAGCGCCGAGTTCACTCAGCTGTTTTCTGACGTTGAAGCCCAGAAACGGAGATTCTAGCCGCTCAGTAATGTGTTCACGACTGAAAGAGAAAGTTTTCCAACTAACGTCCAGACAGAGCTGATATAACTCCAGCGAGCAGCGACACGCTCAAACCAGCACGACTCTGTGGTTGTGTTTCCTCCCCGACACACAACAACGTGGTCAAGCTGCTCAGACATGTTCATCAGCACAGACCTATGTGAGCACCTGTTGTCCTCTAATGTTGTCATTATTATGATGAAGATGAACAAAACAACAGGAGTCTCCTCCTCAGCTCAGGTCAACCCCATGATGCAGGTATCTGGCTGGAACAGGTGAGCATCACAGTAAACCAGTGGAGCAAACTGAGCTTTAAATATGTTGGTTTGATGCTCTTTTTCTGCTCCAAAACATGAAAGTTATCAGGTGAGATGTTGCATTTTCATTTAAGATAAAATTACATTTTTATTTTGTTGTTGGCCCGTGAGAAAAGATTTAACCTACAGTAAACAGGAAGTGGAAAGGCTGCAGATAGATGACTAGAATAGAAAATCCCTTTATTGTTCCTCAGTGGGGAAAGCTAGACGTCACAGCAGCGATGACACGTATTACAGGAGAACAAAGGAGAATAAAAAATAAGAAAAATGAATAAACAAGAAAACATAAATCCTGAATGGATTTAAAAATGCTGATTATACCACAAGTAATGAATACCACTGATGCCTTTTATTTAAAACTGACTTGCTCGTGTGTAATTTGGTTATTCCACATTCAGTGTTAATGCAGAAATAAGTTTGTTTCCAAATTAAAAGGATCAAAATTGCATAAATGTTGATAAAGAAAATGTGCAAATTTGCCGTCACTTTTTCAAAAAATATTAAGTTTGGTCCTCGACTCCATCCCAGAGTTTCATTTCGGCCCCTTGTGAGTTTGACTCTGACACCCCTGCCCTAAACCACGATGGTGAACCATCTTTGTTTTCAGCTCATGTGAGAGTTGTTCTGAGACCCTCATGTTGCTGCTCTTCAAAGAGGAGGGAATGTTAGAATCGGCCCCCTTAAATCCTCTTTCTCATAACTGGATTCACCTGAGTACGGAGGTCAAGGGTCACTGAGCTTACCAAACCGATTTAGAGTTACAATAATTTGTTCTGAAGGTTTTTGAATCAATAAAATGACAACAGTGTCCAAATGTATGCACCTGCCTCCTTTTGTTTAAACCATTATTGCACACTTTCTGTAAATCCTATAAACTTTGTTTCACTTCTCAAACATCACTGTGTGTGACTTCTATATGTTATATTTAACTGAAATTCTTCATCGTAACAAGCAACGATTTATGCAGGAAAATCGTGAAGATTAACAAGGCTTCTCAAACTTTCGTATCCCAGTTTATCTTCTTGACTGGACCCTGGAGTTGTTTTTGAGTTAATGGTTACATGTGATGAGCTAGCAGCTGATCTGAGTGCAGCCAAGACTAAAATGTTTTGCTGCCATCTTAAAATACTGCCTGTCTCCCAAATGTCATGACGGTTCATGCTGATATTATTTTATTAACATTTACATTGCTGTCACTAATAGACTGTGTGGTTGTTTTAGCAGAAATATTAAGGTATTTCTGCAGACTTGACACCTGGATGCATCAGAAATATGCTGCTGATGGGAATGTTTATGTTTATAAATAAACAGAGAATTCCATGTAAATAGCTGTATTGCAAAGTATATTTTATAAAGAAAACCACAGTGAAATTTAAAAGACTGGGGCTGGTATTGAGATGTCACCACCACACAACTGCATTTAGACCAGCTGTTAAGCTCCTGAATTTACACAGAAACACACTTTAGGAGTTTTTAAAATCATTTTATAAATATGGTAAATAACCTTTATTTGATATAGGGTCCTAGATGGTCCTAGCAGCCCTCTGATTACTGGACAAACTACTCTACCTGCTGAGCTACTGCTGCCCCTGCATATAGACTGTTAAAAAAAATAAAGGGAACACACAAATAAGACATCTTAGATGCACACTTGTGGCCTGCAGAAGGTCATGTTGCAGGGCTCTGACAGTGCTACTCCTGTTCCTCCTTGCGCAAAGGCAGAGGTGGCGGTCCTGATGCTGGGTTGTTGCCCTTATGGCTTCCTCCATGACTCCTGGTAGCACCTCCATGTTAATGATTCATGTATTAATACAATCTAAGTAGACCATCTTCAGCCTTGTGACCAAAGAGTTTGCTTCATTCAGATTGTTTCCTCCTTTAGTTCTTTCAAAGCACATTTGCCACACCTTCCCAGACCTCTCTGATCAGCTCCATATGCTAGCTGTCGGTGAATTCAGTAAAGTCGACGCTACTTCATCATCTTTAAATCCCAATTCCTCCCAAAACAACTAGAAATTATATCTATATATCCGTCCACGGAAATAAATAATCAATGACGAACAAGAGTCTGCTTCTTGACCTGCAGAAAAGGGACTCACAACAATACAGGAGCAAGCTGTCACTGCATCAACTTGATGAAGACATGTAAAATCAACATTTTTTTTACTGAACAATCACACGATAATAAATCACAGTGCAGTTAGTGCCAACCACAGCCTTAAGACATGTGTTGAACGTGCAGAAGTCCATACTTATGGGAGCACCATGTGAGCACCCGTGTGCATACACGGGCTTGTATATGGAAGGTTTCTCTATAGGAGCATCCAATAGAGAGTGTGAGTGGCCATAGATCTGCCCCTCCAAAGATGCATAAGAAATGGAGGGAGCTCCAAGTCCCAGAGATCCAGAAGCTGCCCCAGAACACAGGGACCCCATGGAAACTGCAACCAGAAAAGCCCCTGCCCCCCTCAAGAGGTGCAGAGGATCGCCTCGGGGAGCCACAACCAGCAGCCGGCAGAGTCCTGGGAGATATCAGCGGCAAGCCCACAGGCCTCCCACCCCCCAGCCGGCCGAGCCTGGGACTCAGGGGTGACCACCT